TCGGAAAAATGGCAGTGAAATAATTGCACAACAGGTCTTTCCCTGTGCCAAGCCTACGGCGGATTATTGCTGGGTCGTGGTCAATGGAATCACGTTCCTCAACGTCTATAAGGCTCACAAAAACCTACAGGCTGTGGAGCCCCTCATTAATTGGAATCCACCGCCAAACTCTGTTGCAGCAGGAGATTTCAACTCAGTATACTGGGCCTGGCAACCGAGCACCACTCGAATCTACGGACAAGGAGAGGAAATTGACAGATGGGCGCAACAACACGATCTATCCTGTCTCATTATTGGGGAGCCCACGCATAAGGCTGGTAACACCTTGGACCTAGCCTGGACCAACATCAATGGCGCTCGAGCATGGGTGGATCGAAATGAATGCGTAACCAGCGATCATCTTCCTATCCGGGGACAAATCCCGATTCGAGCTGCAAGAATGAAGCCTGGGATCTCCAAGCTCCGAGTGACAAAGAAAAATCTTCCCAAATTTTCTGACTTCACTGCCAGATGGATCAAGCCGCCTCCAGCCTTAGACACAGTCGAAAAAGTTGAAAGATACGCCCAAGAACTCTGTTTCCAGATTAATGCCGCTATTAACGCAACTGGAACCAGAGCCAGAGCAAGAAGCGGAAAATCAGGACCTTGGTGGACCCCGGCATGCAGGGTAGCACACGCTGAATATCAAGCGACCTTACCCTCTCCCCAGCGGGGCGTCTCCGCGAAAAATCTTCGATCTGTTCTCCGAGCTGCGAAAAAAGAATACCAGACGCAACAGGTCGAAGCCATGAAGTCGCCGAGCGATGTGTTCAAGCTGCTGAGAATGGCCAATCCACGACAGGCTAGCATTCCACCGTCACTTAATCACAATGGAATCCTCATCTCGGACCCATTAGAGCGAGCGACAGTACTCCGCGATGAGCTTCTTGCCCGACATCAGGCATCAGACGACCTGCCACCATGCACAGCGAAAAGCTGCAACCGAATCCCGTGGAATGACGATATCACCGATGAAGAAGTCAGGTGCTGCAAAATTGGCAGTGGTAACACGGCTCCAGGAGCAGATGGAATATCAACTGATCTTCTAGCAGCTTGTTGGAACACTATAGGACCATACGTCGCTCAAATATTCCGGGCCTGCGTGATAATCGGCACTCATCCATCCTGTTTCAAGCTGGCTGAGGTCGTTCTAGTTCCGAAGCCTAATCGAGACCCAACAATAGTCAAGGGATGGAGGCCCATCGCTCTTCTTTCTTGCCTAGGTGTTAGACTCTACGAGTCAATTGAAAAATGTATGAAGTAAAAGTAAAAAGTGTCAATAAATTCCTGGCTGCCATTTCTCTTACTGATACTATCTAGATTATGTACGTCTAGAAAATGGCAAATGCTCTATGTGTCCCCAACTTGTCCCCATAGACCAAGCTTCTCATGGTTTGGAACGAAACATCTCTAGTCAGAACAGATAGAGTTCTTATTACTACAGCCCAAGCGAAACACCTTTTTTCGAAACAATTAACTCCAAGCTTTGTAAACCTAACTCCTTAAACTTTATATCTGACATTAATCGCCTCCAAACTATCCATAGTTTGATACTAGGTAAAGGACTAGAAAGACTCTTGGCTAAGCGTATGGCACACCTTGCTGTCATCTTTGATGTAACGGGATAACAGCAATTTGGCGCGCTCCCGAGGCGCTCAGCAATGGACCTTGTCTCTTGTGTGGTACACGACATTGAAGAGGCAAGCTCCCAAAAATGGACCGCTACATTCGTCACCCTGGACGTTCAAGGTGCCTTCGACGCAGCTCTCCATAACCGTCTGATGAGAAGGATGCAGGAGCAAGGTTGGCCAGACTCGATACTCAAGTGGAGAACCTCGTTCCTAGCACAACGAATGGTCCAAGTGCGTTACTCTGGAGGAGTCACCGCTCAGCGACAGCTAAGCTGTGGAGTCCCCCAGGGCTCACCGATATCCCCACTCTTATTTCTTCTTTACATGGCAGAGCCTATGCGAAGCGGGAATCCAGGTATGAGGTTCAGCTACGCCGAAGACTTCGGAATAATTGGATTTGGCCGCACGATTATGGAATCTGCTGCTGCAGCCCAGAGTGAAGTCGATCATCTCCTAGAATGGGCGGGAAAAAATGCGGTTGCTTTCGACACAAGTAAGTCAGAAGTAATTCAATTTCCCGCACGGTGCCGCGAGCCTGCGAAAGGAATCTATGTCAATGGAACCCTTATCGAGCCGGCTGAATATTTTCGCTGGTTGGGTGTCTACCTAGATCTCCGTCTGACCTTTAAGCACCATGTAACAACATGGTGCGGTAAAGCCTTGAAAGTTGCACAGAACCTGCGCCGCTTCAACACTGTTCTCCGAGGAGCCGCCCCAGGAGCGCTTATCAGAGCAGTCGGCATGTGTGTTGTTCCTATTGCGACATTTGGTGCAGAGATCTGGTGGCCAGGTCTCAAACGCCCTACGAGAAAAAGCATGACAACCCCACCAACGGCACATCTATGTGGCATGATTGACAAGGCTGTCTTGATGGGTCTACGAGCTGCTCTCCCGGTAATAAGGACGACAGCGAACGTGGTACTGCATAGAGAAGGTGGAATTCCACCGGGCAAAATCATTCTGGAGGGTAATCAACTTCGACTCTCAGTCAGGCTCAAAACTCTGGATGACCGACATCCGCTGAGGATTCGTGCGGCTGTGTGCCCAAATATAGGCACGCTGAAATACAAGATTAGAAATTGAGGGACTTCGGTTCCTGAAGTAATAATGTCACGAGTACAGCGAGCGTACCGACAATTACCAGAGGCTGAGGGTGCGGAAGCACTGCCACCCACATCCTACTTACCGAAAGCAGGATCTAAAGAGGAGCAAATTGAGAAATGTAGGCAATGGATCAACCAGGTGTCGAAGTCGGAAATTTGTGCCTACTCGGATGGCTCATCGGAAGGGAATGGACGCTCTGCGTGGGGTTTCGTTCTGAAGAGAGACGGGTAGACTTTGCTCGCAGGAAGTGGTATCAGGCATGGGGGGGAGGCCTTAGATGCGGAAATCACCGGGGCAAGGAAGGCTCTTGAAGCGGCATTGGGACTCCAGAGCGTGAGACAACGAGTCTACCTACTAATGGATAGTCAAGAGGCGATCAACGCACTTGAGACAGGCAAGTCCACCACAAGCCACGACGAAGTACGGAAATTTCGTGAGTTGTCCAAATCAGCTCGCGTGACAATTAAATGGGTACCTGGACATTCAAAGATTCAGGGTAACCTAGAAGCTGACTCGGCCGCCCGGTCTAGCCTACGAAAGCTGCCTTGCTCTGAAATACGGCCAGAATCCATAACTCTGGCATTTCTGCATGGCCAAATGAATCGTTTGCGGCAAGCATTGCTCGACAAATGGTGGAACGAAGCTTGCCCGCCCCGATATCGCAAGCTCGACCTGCTCATGCGACGGCGAAAACCACCTGAGCTGGGACTTTCGAGGTTCCTACTCCGAAATCTGATTGCAGCTCGTACTGGCCATGGCAATTACGCGGCGTATCATCGCCGTTTCAACAATATGGACGCTCTCATGGAGTGCACCTGCGGGAAGGAGATCACTCCAACCCATTTCATTCACTGTCGACTACATTCACACGTCACGCGTCGACTCAGAGGGAGATTGTCAGATAGTGACTTCATCCAAAAGCTTCTCGGGCCAAAGTGTCCCGAAAATTTCAAAAACTTTGTTAAGGAAACCTGCTGTATTGGGTTGCCATCTACAAATTCGTCCTCTGATCTCATCGAGGAGCATATAAATTAGTCATACTGATGATATGACAGGAAGGAATACAAGGCGAGAAGATTTGTTTTCTGACCAGAAATTGGGAAATCTGCAGGGCTGGATAGTTTTGTGGGTAGGAGTTTGGTTTCAAAGGTTGAATTTATGTACATTTGCGAATTTTAAACTATCTATTTATTGTTTAGTGGTTCATGCGGTGGGATCAAGTTGGGCTTATCAGAGATAGGATCTTGGCTGTGAAAACCGGTCCTTGACTCTTCGGGGATAACGGGTTAGACCTAGGACCTAAATGAATAAACAAACAAACAACCTTAAGGTCTCGTGTTGGCCAGCTCAGTCTACACAAACTACCCGACGTAATTTCCAATTGTTGCTTCTTATTTTAATTTCCTTTGTGTGCTAACATGCACTTGGATGTGTCCAAATATTTGAGGAGAGCTTCCTTTCCCATCTTTGTTCGAAATAATATTGGAAAAGTTCTTGGCTATATGCCCTGAAAATACCTGTTTCTTTGGTCTCTGAATTTAGGACAACCTAATAATAGGTGTTGCAAATTCAGCCCTTCTTTCTTATAGATATTCATCACGGGAAATAAATTAATGATCATTCAGGTAAGAAAGAGGATAGGAGCACTGTGCAAAGTGTGGCCTGGACCAGAGAGGAGCCCAATGTGCTGGATAGTCTAAGACTCAAGTAGTACAATAAACCTACCTATCTCTCTCTTTCCTAATAAAAATTGCATATATTATCTACAACTATTCCTATGATGTGCAGATATTCCGGCAAAGCTGTGAAGCTGTAGGGATTAAGATTGGGTTGCATCACTGTCTAAAGGCTTTGATTATGTGTTCATAGGATATCTTTAAAATTGCGCAAAGGCGCGCGTAGGGTTGACGATAGCCGCGCAGATGGTTTAATAGATGAGCTGCCGGCTGTACCCCGATCGCCAACGTCCCAAATTGATCCCGAATAGCGTGAGCGAAACAGAGTTTTAGACACAAAAATGTGTATGAATCAATTTATATGCTGATCTCGAATTTTCATACCGTAAGTTAGGTTTACCATTACCAGTCTTTGGAGGGCTGATTTCTAGTAGCTACCAACTGCGCTATAATCTGCCAAGATAAGCGCGGAACAAATCTAATTTCTCGCGCGGTCACTCACACACAAGTTATTGAATAAGTACTTCAACGCCTTTTAGGTTATAATTTTATGGCCAGTATGGCCACAGCCCAAACCGAACTTATCAAGTGCATCATCCTGTCTCTGTTACCTGTAACATTACGCTAATAAATCCATAGCTCCTTGAGCCAAGATGAAATTCCCATCAAACTTCGTTGTGCCATTTGTAGCAAGCTTGCTATCAATGCCTTTCGTCTTCCTTGCTGTGATCAGGCTATCTGTGAGATATGTGAGTCACAGCTTGCCTGCATTAAAAAACCAACACCTAACGGCTAACTTACAGGCCAATCGAGGCTGCCAACCTCTTGTCCCGTATGTGAACATAATCCGGTAGCAGCGACCGATTGTAAGCCAAATAAGTCTCTTCGGATTACAATAAAAGTTTTTTTGAGGACCGAGGAAAAGAAGCGAGAGGCACTGCGTGCTAAAGAGCAAAAAAACACGCCCCCTCATACACCAGTTCAGCCTGAGATTACTGCCACTGATGTTACAACCTCCATCAAGGAAGAAAATGAAAATGAAAATTCTGAAGAGCCTGACGACAAGCCTCCGGCCAGAGAGCCTAAGTTATCGGCCCAGGCCTCAGAGGTAGTAATTAGTGCTGTAGAAAGCCAAGAGTTAACCAGATCTCTTGATATCCCTCAGCAATCAATTGAGGCAAGTAGACTAATTCTCCCCGCAGCTTCATCACTGACTTAGTTATAGGAGGTAGCTCCTGGCCAAGCATTCATCTCTGATCCAGAAGTACAAAAAGAAATTTCAGTCACCACTGCGGATAATGAACAGGAGGCCAACAAAGTGGGAATTAGCAAGTCGGATGCCCCAGCCTTAGCTTCAGGATTTATGTACGATCCAAACAATGCAGCTGGATTTTCTGGTATAGGGTTTGGCGGTGATTTCACTCAGATGCAGATGATGATGGCTATGCAGAATGGCTTAGCCCCAGGAACTTTTGGGAACTTTCCAATGATGAGTAAGAATGGATACCCCTTCAACTCTATATCGCTAACGATACCAAGATATGCCTGGTATGACTATGGATCCTATGGCTGCGCAAAATATGTTCATGAATAATGGTTACGGTGTGGGCTTGAATATGGGAATGGGGTTAGGAGGCTTCGATGGCGGAGTTGGAGTAGGGCTTAATGGATGGAACGGACAACAATCATGGAATATCGGTCAAGATAATTACAATCAAAATGCAGCCAGCATGAGTCACGGTGACTATGGAGCAAATAATTCGGGCTATGTGCCTCACCCCCCTGGATATAACCAAGGTAATTACGCTCGCCCAGGTCAGTTCAATGATTATAACAGTTACGGCTCTTATGGATTTCGTGGTCGTGGTAGAGGCAGAGCTGGATACGGTCGGGCTGATGCTTCATTATATGGAGGACATGATAAGCACCAGTTTCCCCAGCAGACTGTGTCCGGGCAACATAATCAAGGCCTTGTTAGTGATGGAGGAGCTGGCTCTAAGGGTCCCAAGGCAGATGTTGTTGCGAATGAAAATGTTGATGAATTTGGAAGAGATATTCGCCCGGCCTCTGAGTCACAAGGCGAAACAAACAAAGAAACTGTGGATAATGAATCTTTGCCAGTGCCCTCTCATGAGATAAGCAAAGGCCAAACAGGAGATAGAGCGACTGATGATACTAAAGGCGATAAAAATGGGACGGAAGGTAGAGGGGCCTCTGCTGTCCCGATACAGACCCTGGAAACTGTAAATTTGCAGAGCAACAACGGCTACAACGAACATGGCTTAAATCGAGCGGGCTATTATCATGGAGGTAGAGGCGGAGCCATTTCAATACAGCCTACTACTGTGAAACCCGTCGATGTGCCAATCAATGCCCCTACTGGCCCCAAGGCTATGCGCGAAGGTCTCCCTAACACTAGCCTTTCTCACTTACGCTGCAGGGCATATCCAGTTTTAACTTCTGTAGCATCATCTGGAGCTAATGTTAGTGGTAACGGAAGTACTAATGCTCCTGCCATTGTGGAGAAAAATTCCCGAGGTAGGAGCAGGTCCGCCACTAAAGATCGAAAAGATAAGTCGCGTGACCGGAGGAGTAAAAGCCGGGAAAGACGGCACCGTAATAGGCGACATCGATCAACATCTCTAACTGAAGATGAGCGTGAAACTGAACGACGTCGAGAACGACGAAGAGAGCGCCGCCGTCGTCGACAAGAGGAAGAAGTAGATGCAGAAGATTCGATGGAAAAAGATGAAGAAGCTAAATTAGTAGTAGCAAAAGAGCGATCTCGTTCCATCTCACCCACGATAGTGAAGCACTCAAGCCACCGAAGCCGCAAAGATGATCATCGTGACGGAGGCAAAGAACGTAAGCGAGAAAGAGATAGCGATCGAGATCATGGTTCCTCTCATCGTCGTCGTTCTCGTCGTCGGTCTCATCGAGGTGACAGGGAGCGCTCGCGAAGTCGTGAGCACCGACATAGACACGGATGGTACCACTCTGAAGCCTCCGAGGAAAAAAATACCAAGACAGCCGGTGAATCTTTCCGATCATCAGCCGAACCAGAGCCCTCACCCTGTCGGCCATCAGCTTTTTCTAACCTAGAAATCAAGGGCGCAAGCAGTCGCAACAACAACGGTAATAGTAGCAACAAAATTGAGGAAGCTAGTATCCCCACAGGCCCCCGGGAACGTACGCGGGATCGTTCGAAAGAGAAGACAAATTCCACTCGTCGCGAACACGATCGTCGATCTAGCCACCATGAATCCTCTCGAGGCTCCCGCTACCGCGACAAGAATAAAGAGGTCAGCAAGACCTCAGTCCCCGTCATACCAGTAGTCCGTGACCCCCATGAGCTTGAGCGGGAGGCTAGGAACCGGGAGAGATTACTGAAAGAAGCGCAGCGTATAGCTGGACTCTCCGGCGGGCTTTCGAGTCGCAAGAGGATAAGCGACGATGTAAAACATGATGACAGCAAATGGAAAGGGAGAAGTAAGAAGTTACGCGGCGGTGCTATCAGTGGCGAAGATGAAGAAATTAGGCTGGCGAGAATGGAAGCCGAAAGGGAGGGAGCACGATGGGCATAGCTTTCATAATCTGACTAGACATAATTCTTTAAAGTCTAGGGCTTTCAACCGGTAGGTTGAGCTTCTATCATAGATAATCCTTATCAAGTCGCCTATAGGACTCTCGACACCGTTATGGAATGATCGATATTTGGCGTGTCTGAGTAGGTGAACCAGGACTCTGATCAACGTAAACAGACCTGAGTCTTCATGGCTGTGAAGCTGTCACTTTTTTATTCCATCTCATATGTTATCCGAGGGGGCTATCTATAATAAAGGTTAGGGGCTTGGACTGGGGACTTTTAATGGTTCTGCGATGACCTTGGCACTATAGTCTAGGGTTTCAGGGGAGCATTCATAAAATAGCAAGGCGGAAGAAATAAACTAGATGCTTCCAATCTAATTTCATGCTTGACTAGAGGTCCTACAACTTAAAACAACGAAGAGCCCAATATCTGAGATATTTAAGACCTTACCTTAAACGTTGCGATCGAAGCGGCCCTTGGCCATTTTCGCTTAGTTTAGTCCTGAAGGGTTACTGAGTGATGGTAAAATCACAGTTGGCTTTTACGGTCCGGAATATCGTTAGTCCAGAGGCTCTACCGCTGCTCAGAAGACCATCAGGGAAAGGTGGATCTCTTACCATGGCCTCGATTCATCGATTACTTCCCAAATCTCGAGTTGGTGAAAGTCGTAACTATCAAAAAAATAGCCCTGTTAGAGGGTGAAATGAGGCGAGAGGGGCTGCAAGTGGGGATTGTGCTGTGTCTGGGGTGTTCGTTTGTGGAGCAGAGTGGCGACAATGCTCGGGGATGTCTCACCTACGCAAGTATATTTATGTGTGTAGTTATGGTACATGATCAGTGCTGGTTTCATGTGAAAAGTTCGTCCCTTCTCAGCTTATGATCATATAGGAAATGTAAGCCCCTACATACATGGTTGAACGTCTATGCCATAGAGAGAGGTATATTTATTGTACTACTTGAGTCTTAGATTATCTAGCATATTGGGCTCCTCTCTGGCCCAGGCCACACCTTGTACAGTGCTCCTATCCTCTTTTGTTACTTGTAAGATCAATGATATATTGCCCGTGAATAATAGCCATTCAGCTCAGTATTTACCCGTGGAATTCGGCCACCTTTTCCACGGAATCATTCCCCAAAAAAAAAATATGGTAGCAATGGAAACTGCGTGCGCGGGAAAAAGTCTCAAAAGACCTGCAGCCCCAGCTAGGCGAGGCCTAGACACCGGGACCACATGAGGTGCGCATATTCATCTATGTCTCCCTTCCTTGTAACAGTTGAGGCCGACTTGATCCAATCTACCATCGCCGCATCTGGTGCTGGGTACGCTCCGGAAACTTATCGGATGGCTTTTCCTCCATGATTAAAGGTGGGTGATGAGTAGGAATCTAAACCTACCATCTGATCTGATCGTGGTTAGCTTCATAATATTGGTGATAGGGGGGTGTGTTGAGAGATGAAGACGATACAGACCGCGAAAGCGATTGGAAATCCTCATCGGGGTGATGACTTTGTTACTCAATCTCGGCTCTGCAGACTCTACAGTGAGAGCTGGAGGTTCGTATGGGACACCACTAACAGGTGTTGAGAATAGTCCCTAAGACCATATCGAGCTTGTATCCCTCGCATTCTTTGGTCACAACCTAGGCGGCTAAGCGCGCCAGTCGTTCCCTACTGTATTCTAGAAGTTTACTTTGCCATGTATTACTGATAATTATTATCTGGTGTATGGGAGATCTTATTTATTTTTATCTATTTAAAATGTTAAAATCACTCACTGTTCATGAGAGCAAAGTTAAAAGTTTTACAATTGGAACTTGAAAAATGTAGCTAGTATCTTATGTATAAAGTATTGGAATTGTCAGGATATAGAATAATTGGGGCTATGAAGTAGGCCACATTGTTGGTACACATGAGGGTACAAATTCTGTACTCTATTTCATTTCAGTAGCTACTTGAATCAATGCGCTCTACAACCCCAATGACTGAAGGTTTATTATTTCCATGATAGGGATCCTCTATAGTCCTTGACTCAGTTAGGACTATGATATTATTCTAAATCTAATCTTGTTAGAAGAAATACAAGTTTAAGCCTAGTCTCAAGCTCTGGAAGAGAACCAATCACGATAGTTTGATCGCACCGGTTAATCCAAAAGTAAAGGTTTATATCCTGTATAACGAAAGAACTACATGAACTACATAAATGAGTATCTGCTAAGTCTTACAAAAGGAACTCCTAGCTTAACTATCCAATGAGTTCGCGTGAACAATCCTTACAAGTGGAGTCGGATAAGTCCGGTTTCTAATCCTACAAGGCCTGTCAGTCAGCTCCGTGTCAGCGTACTAGGCACCCCCGAAGAAGCTAAAATCTTATCTGAGTGGCTGGCACAGAGGAGGTTCCTGATGGGTTAGTAGGAGTGAAAGTGAGATAGGCTTAGCTTTGTCATGGTGTGGGTTACGGGTGTCTCGTGGCTCCAAACTACCGATTTGTATAGTGGAGCATAAGAATAGATGTAACTTGATTTTCTAGTAATGAGGTATGTTCTTTAATTATATTAAATCGCTGATCGTCAAGCATTATTGGTTTAGTGGTAAAATCCATCGTTGCCATCAGGAGTCGATAGGCCCCGTGTTCGATTCACGGCTAATGCAAAACTCTCGGACACATTTTAGTGTTTCCCGCGGTAGTATCGACAATTTTTGACTGGCATATCGCGCTTTTAGGTTGGATGGTGCGATGGTACACCATTCAGCCCATACTCCTATGTAGATTCTGAGTAGCTTAAACACCTATCCCATTTAAGACAGTAGATGGTGTTTGTGTTTATTGTGCTGCTTGAGTCTATGACTATCTAGCACATTGGGCTCCTCTCTGGCCCAGGCCACACCTTGTACAGTGCTCCTATCCTCTTTTGTTACTTGTAAGATCAATGATATATTCCCCTTGATGAATAGCCATTCAGCTCAGTATTTACCCATGGAATTCAGCCACCTTTTCCACGGAATCATTCCCCAAAAAAAATAAAAATGGTAGCAATGGAAACTGCGTGCGCGGGAAAAATTCTCAAAAAACCTGCAGCCCCAGCTAGGCGAGGCCTAGACACCGGGACCACATGAGGTGCGCATATTCATCTGTGTCTCCCTTCCTTGTAACAGTTGAGGCCGACTTGATCCAATCCACCATCTCCGTATCGGGTGCTTAAGACAGTAGAAAGTTGGTTCGGATCCAACAAAACCCACACACCACTTCCTCTCGCGGTGATATTGTACTTGTGGGATGATGAAAGCACACTCGGTTAGCCACAGGTTTTTTGTGCTATTCCCTGTGGTGGGTATGCACGGAGGAGGTTACACTGTAGTGCTGGTGATGGCTAGGATTACGATGCACAAGGGTAATGATCACTGAGGTTGAAGGGAGAACTTTCTTTGTGGCTCCATGATGAGTTGAGGAAAAGTGGAGCACTGTATGGAAAGTGTTTCTAGATAATACTACCAAATGGAGGATACTAGAATATTATGCGATACTTTTTTGGGCAAATAAGGCGAGAGAAGATACCACAGATGTGTATTTACTAGCGCTTTCTACCTCCCGAATCTCATAGTTCTGTATACCAAATATATATCAGCAGTTTACATTGATTTATCGATAATCATCTGTAAATATTCTGCCAATTAACCTCCGTAAGCTCTTACCTTTACAACATATACGTTGTAAGGGTTAACCACGAGTGGTATTTGCAAATGAAATCTGGGTGTGAGTGTTCTAAACGTCATATTGGGTCATCATACTCAAGGTACATATCTTCCGATAAAAATCTGCATAGGCCTCATAGCGCCAAATCAAGATAATGAATAGGAGGGCAAGACTGAACACCTGTACGCGGTGTCCTCTACGAACCTGGGAGTGAAACATTCTCCCAGAGCCAAGTTCAGTCAAATTTCGCAATACCGAACAAGTTGGCCCACGAGGCAATGATTCAAAATACTCCACCAAATCAATCTTTCACTCCCAACAAAATCGATTCCTACCTAAGCCTCATCAAGTCTACAAGTACGACCTAGTACATCCTCATTCCAATGACCACACTTCTTTTCGACTTTCTTTGGCCTTAGCTGGTCGCCAGATACACGCCCACGCCGATATTTACACCCGACGGAGGAAGCAAAGCGTGGCGCACAAATCTGGAAGACAATTCCTTGAGATGGATGTGAGAGGGATCAGGACAAGTTGATAGGATGATGCAGAGGATGGATACAGTCTCGACGGGCCTGGAATTTTGAATATTGGCAAGGAGGTTTTACAAATTGAGCTTTGTGCGTGCCAAGACATCGGTTGCGAGAGTGCAGGCGACACTATAAACACCGCCATGGTTGGATGGTGCGGTGGTGCATCGTCTTGGCCGGTCTGCCAAGTAGAGTCTGGATAGCTTCGACACATATCCCACTTGAGACAGTAGATCGCTGGTTCGAATCCAGCAAAACACAACCACTTTTCTCGCGGTGCTGGTATGCATGAATGACGAAGGCATGTTTGGATATTCAAAAGTTTTGAAATTCCCTTTGGTGGGTACTCACAGAGGAGGGTCGACTGTACGTGTAAGCAAGCATACCCCATAGTGGTATTTGCGAATGAAATCCAGAGTGTGAGTGTCTCTAACGTCAAAAGAGTCATCCCACATGTATACATAGCACCGGTCATGTGTCATAGCTAGATAGCTGAATACACATTAAATGATTCAAAAAAAGATAATGAATAATTCATTTATTTATGCCTTAAATTGCGCCCGGACTCCAACGTGAATAATATTACATAAGTAGTACAATTTATCAGAGCCTCCTACTAATTAATAGATCTATCAACCTTGGATCCTCACTGACACAGTTTTTTGAAAACATTTATCCTCGATGAGGAAAATGTTGTATACCTATTCAAACCTTGTAAGTTTGGAAACCCCAAAGTAAATAAGGAAAGGCATGGAAGACTGGCCATTCATTTAG